TTAATTTTTCCTAGAATCTGAAACCAAACTAATTTAGTTCCCGGAATTAGAACGAGATTAAAATTCCGAACTAACACGTTACTTCAAATAGAAGCGTGCAATTTCAAATGGACACTCCGCCGACACACCTTTGAATGAACGGAATGTTTATACTTTCTAGAGTCATGAAACGATCACTCTATAGCAACTGCAGTTTTTTTTCTGTGCTCCAAGATTCGAGTAATGTGTCCGAGGACGATCTCTCCAATAATTTCCGGGGAATATTTGTCCAGAAGGATCAGCCACTTATGCCCTTTAAACGCGCCTTCCTCAATCTGTTTAACCAGCAAAGATCGGTCAATCAGGCAATTGATCGGCCCTACGAGCACCAGTTCACTATGTGCTTACCTCAATGAGGCCGTCACTCTTGAGTGGATACGAGTTTTCCTCCGTCATGTTCTCCGTAGTGCCACTCCAGAAGGTAGCGATCACAGGACGTTCCATCGCCATCGCCTCGACATGCTGTCGACCACACCCTTCACCATGCGACGGCAGAACGAATGCATTGGCAGCCTTATGCATACAACAACCATGTCAAATCCAGGGGGATGCATTCGCTAAGCGCGCAATCCCGATTGCGAGCCCAATACGTTGCAAATCCTTTGGTCATCATCTTGCTCTTGACTCTTGACCTCGCATGCCGATGGCTGCGCTCATTACTCAATTTGCCACCTGGCCAACGTTTGAGCTGGGCACCAACACTTCCGACTAGTGAGAAGGCTATTACAAACGATGGAGGACAAGGCGATCCACCTTGGCTCCGACACGCTGACATCGGGCAAGGCCATGATGGCTCATGGCCCCAACGCACTGCACAGCTTCGTGGCTGGAAAATTCGAGGCAGCCATGGGGCGAGAGCTGCCGCAGATGGAGGTGCGCTACCATAACTTGAGTGTCACGGCCAACGTGACAGTGACGGGCAAAATTACGGCCGAGTCGGAGCTTCCAACGGTGTTCAACACTATCAAGCGCAGTCTGGCCAAGTTCGCGTGGAACAAGCGCGTGGTTCAGAAGGAGATCATCAAGAACGTCAGCGGTGTATTCAAGCCCGGCACCATCACTCTGTTGCTGGGCCAACCGGGGTCAGGCAAGACATCTTTGATGCGTGTACTGGCTGGGCAATTCCCCAAGAGCGGGAATGTCGAGATCGAGGGTGACGTGTCGTACAACGGCGTGCCTCGAGACGAGATCACCAAGTTGCTGCCCCAATTTTCAGCCTACGTGACTCAGTTTGACAAGCATTTCCCCAAACTCACTGTACGGGAGACGTTGGAGTTCGCCTATGCAGTATGTGGAGGTGGCATGTCGAAGCACACGGAGGAGATGCTGAGTCACGGTACACCGGAGCAGAATGCTGAGGCTCTGGAGATGGCTCGTAAATACTTCGAGCACTTCCCAGATTTGGTCATTGAGCAGCTCGGACTGCACATTTGTCAGGACACGATCATTGGTAGTGGTATGCTACGTGGCGTGTCAGGAGGTGAACGAAAGCGTGTGACTACGGGTGAGATGGAGTTTGGTATGAAATACATGACGCTCATGGACGAAATTAGTACTGGTTTGGACAGTGCTGCGACCTTCGACATCATCACGACGCAGCGCAGTATCGCCAAATGCCTCCACAAAACGATCGTGATCGCATTGCTACAACCTGCACCTGAAGTGTTTAACCTGTTCGACAACGTGATGGTACTGAACCAAGGTGAGATCATCTACCATGGCCCTCGCGACCAAGCAGTACCGTATTTTGAAACGCTAGGCTTCAAGTGTCCACCTCGTCGTGACGCTGCTGACTTTCTATTGGATTTGGGCACGAATATGCAGAAGAAGTACCAGGTCGAGCTGCCAATGGGGATGACCCAACATCCTCGTCTAGCTAGCGAGTTCTCGGAGTATTGACGGCAATCACCGCTGTACGCCGACTTGATCGGTGCGATTCACGCTCCGCATGACCCCGAACGCTTGAAAGATGTTGAAGAACACATGAAGCTGATGCCGGAATTCCGTCAAAGTTTCTGGGAGAGTACCAG